TAGCAATGATGAGAAACTTCAAGAAGAGAGAGAATATATTTGTCACGAATCCTCAAGTGGTTCTCAACAAAGAAGTAGCTATGACACATCATTAGAAAGAACAAAAAGAAGGAACTGTGAAAAATATGGGAAAGTGCCTCGTCTTCAAACAAATGTTCCAAGGGTCCAGATTTCAACAATAGACATGGTCGATAATCCAGTTCTATCGATCAGTTGCAAAGTTATTTTCTCAAGTTGAAATTGCTATCTTTCATTTTAATTTTCTAGAGACTATTTTGTTTCGTATGACTTGGATTGCTTGAACTTATGGAAAGTGAAATGAATGTTTTAAGAGAATGTAATTGAAATACTCATTTGAACTTGAGACTGATTTAGCTCTCATAATTTATGCCTTGCTGCAATCTTGTCTAACTTAGCTTTCCGCTTATCTTCTTTCTCTTCCGCTTCTCCAGTAATAGAGGTGTTACAAGGTGTGTAAGATTAATCCTTGTGAGTATCACAATCTGTATTCACTAGTCGTTTGAAGTTATTGGAGTTTTGAGAAAACTACATGTCAAGTGGTTAGAACAACAGAAGACATGTCACTAAACAACAACATAGGAAAAAGCAGACTCTGCTAAGTGATCGATCCGCGTGTGATAGTTGTCTACTTAACCTTGGACTATTGCTTCCTGCTAGATTATATGAACTTAGATATGTATACAAATTAGTATTCAATGAGTTCCCAAACATTCGTGCATAAACAATTTCCCCTATTGTCGTGCCACCAGGACTTAGCATATGTTCTGTATTTGTATAATTTCGATGATGAGTGGTATGACTATACCAAAATTCGGGGCCTTAATTTTAGATGTTTTTGTAGCTTGACCGCGAGCATAGAGTGGAATCAACGATTTTTGTGAGACTTCAACTTTACAAACAGGGCATTTTGGCTGTTGATTATCGATGTTCTCTGATGAAATGGTCTTAAAATGTATCCATTTGTAGATGCAAGGCCAACAATAGAGGTGACCACATAATGTAACAACAGGATCATGTACAACATCCAGGCAAATGTTGCACTCGAAACCTTCAGGTGAATTTTCTTCAAATTTATCAAGATCAATTGTGTTCCATTTTTCGTAGGAAATATCGCGTTGATCAAAGGTAGTTTCTGCTATTTGGTCTTGAAAAATTTGTTCTAAGGCCATATTTGCCTCTTGGTATTGATTTATTTTGGTAATGGCAAGATGAAGAATGGTTAGAATCCAAGTTTTTAATACAATTAGAAGTGAGTATTTATAAGGACAAGGAAAAGAATAGTAGTTTGCAAACATGAAATTGATTAATGATTCTTAAAGTTGTCACTTGTCAACATCGCATTATGTTAAAGGGGCATGGCCAAACCGAAAAGGCCCTACACATTATTAAACAACACTATATCATATTACTCAACTCAATCTTGATTTATGCGGTGGTATACTGTTTGGTTTGATATAACATTTAATAAGGAAATGAAAACTTTTAAAATATGTGGTGTAAAACAAATCTTTAATCATTTGTGTCGTTATAAATCATGTCATTAAGGATAAAAGATGAATTTTAAGTTCTTCAATCATAAAAATGTGATATTCTTTTATGTCAGATTAAAACAAATGTGTTATATAAATTGAGGCAGATGAATTATCACACACACCATAATTAAGCGTTTTGATGAAATCGATATATATATATTAATGGATCATGGTTAAGTGAGAGGAGTTTTGTGCAAACACATCTTTTATCTATCTATTTGATTTAAACAAGTAAGTTTTATCATATTAGAAATGTGATTAGGACCTTATATTAGTTTTAATAACAAACTAGGCCCCATGATAGGAATCTTAATCTAGAAAATAACTTTTAGTCAATAAAAAGTAGCACTAGTTGCGTACAAGGAGCTACCACTTGATGACCTTCCACACAGCCACATCCCATAAGTTCAATAGTTTTCACACTATAAGAACATGATTTTTTTTCATTTTAATTTTATTAAACTAATTCACTGAGAAAACATATAACGAAACATAAGTTCTCATTGAATTACTGGAAATAGTCACTTGGAAATTTATGAGTTTTAGGAAATTATGCATCAAAACTTAGGAAGACGCTCGTATACAAATTTGTTGTTAAATCATAATATATACTTTTACATCTGAATATCTTTATCGATTTGGTTAAAATTATAATAAAAAAATTACAATACAATATTATATCTAGATTCACATAAATTTAATATAAGTTCCATATAATTATTATTATTATTATTATATATTAATCTAAAATTATTATAGAAGCCTCTAAGCTCTAAATTCAGATCCAACTAAAGAGTGAATATACATAGTGGGGGATGGGAAAATACATATGGACGGTGTGACAAAAAAATAAAAGAAATATTCCGTCCATTCCATTTGATATTTGATTTAGTATTGTTTGACCTAATACGATGTATAAAAAAAAAGATTTTAGAAAAATATAATCTAAAATAATTTTTATATATTTATATGATTATAAATCATTTCATTAATTAAGGATAGATGAATTTTTTTTAAATCTTTTCAATTATAATAAAATGATCGTGTCACGTAAAGTAAAACGAGAAAATATTATCTTACTATAAAAGAACGAGTCCGCACATGAATTATATAAGTACTACTGCGTCTCAAATTTAGCAGCCTTTTGCCAACTTTTTATTTTTTTGGTTACTTGGAAGCAAGTTTATCCTATCCTATCCAATCAATTAGGGGTGGCCATTAATAAGATATTATTATGCTAAAGATAACATATTATTTCCTCCGTTTCTAATTACTTATTCATTTTTTCTTTTTTAGTTGTTCATAGTTACTTTTTCATTTTGACAAATCAAAAAATGACAATTTTTTACCTATTATACCCTCAATTAATTACTTTGAAAAAGATAGAGCTTCTTGAAAATTATAAGTTTTTAATTCATCAACTTCATAGTTAATAAGGGTAAAATGGTAAACTCACTATATCAATCATTGTTTTCTTAATAGGTGTGTCAATTCAAAAGTGGACAAATAATTAGAGATAGAGGGAGTATATCGAAATAATATAATCAGATATTATGTTAAAGATAATAAACAAAACTTTGAACAATTATAAATAAGATAGCAAAAAAATCCATTAAATAATACATAGTAAATTAACATGGTTCAACGATTAGTGACGGAATCTGAATTTGATTCAGGATTTTCACTAATGAAATTCATATAAATTAGCTGACTACAATAATATATAGATAAAAATTAATTTTAACTATATGTATAAATAATATAATTTTCCATCGAAGGAGGTTCATCTAATTCCTCATTTCTTTCTCTCATTCAAAACTATGCAATATGAGACTTTCATATCACAAGAACCATTCTCTTTTTTTTTTTTTTTTGGAAAATCATAGTAGCTCAGTTAGTTGACTGACTATCTAAATTCTCGATTCCCCATATTGTAATCCTCTACCCCATTTTTTTTTAATTACCTTCCTCACATATGTATAAAATCGAATCCAAAGATCTAAGATGAGAGAATTTTGGGAGAGCCGCCGACTCCAACAACCGCCATGTATTATCCATACTAGATCTGACCAACTGCCCATCCTACCTCCTCTACGTTCTTGACGACCCATTTTTGTCTTAGTCAAGTCTTTTAGTGGCACGTTTTGATCTTCTTTTCCATTACTTAAAAAGTGAGCAATTATTCAAATACAAAATACTATCATTACCGCCTAGAAAATTAGACATTCAACCCATAATCACAATGATCCAATTACAAAAGCTTCAAACCCCCTATGTCTAGACTAGCTCTGGCCCCTGGTTTTATCATTTGACCTTCACATGAGTAAACTCGTTGATATAGAGGATTACAGTATCGATTTCTTTGAAAGAAAAAAAAGAAAAAAACCTTAATTTATAAAAGTTCAAAAGATTTTAATTCAATGTTTGTAAGTCAATTATGAAAAAAAATATTTTTTCTTGAAAAATATATCCAAAGTGATGTAACAAAACTTGATTGTTATCTAGGTCTGTAAAGTATCTTTTCACTTGATTGTGTATTCTATTTTTATGTGATGAGTAACAACATGTCCTCTGATGTTTAGTGGTCTTTCCAAGTTTCTATAAATATAATATAGTAGCATAATAAATTTGCACAAAATACTAAAACCAAATACATGGAAATTGGTATTGCTCTGCTACATACATTTTCTAGGCTGGCATAATACATAAATATGCCCTTTAACTTGGTGTCATTTCACATTTATACTTAAATTTGTATAAAGTTGAATAAGTAGACACATGAGTCATATGTGGCATAATACACATAGGACACCACGTAGGACGCAAATTGCCATATAGGATGCCACATAGGACGTGTGAGTCTATTTGTTCAATTTTATACAAGTTTAAGTATCTACTTGTGCACACTCAAAGTTGGAGGACATAACTATAAAATGAGGCAAAGTTAAAGGGCATATTTAGGTATTATGCCCATTTTGTACATAAAATTGGAGTAGGCTAATTTTCTTTTAGAGGTCATCATCATCATCATCATCTTCATCGTCATCGTCGTCATTTGTTTCCTCACTGTTGAAAAAGACAGCAACAAAAGATGAAAAATGAAATGTTATGCAATATAACAAGTTACACAATATTGGAAGGATTTAAATCATATACAACGACAACGTAAGAACTTTTATTAGGTGAGCAAGTTCCTACCTGAACTATCACCAACTAATTAATTATCAAAACACACATTAACTATGAGTTGTTCCTTTTTTCTAGTGGCCACAAATAGGAAAATTTGGACGGACCGAAAATGGATTGGATTGATATGGATAAAAAATAGACTAGGCAACATGGTCGTAACTTACTTTAATCTCTTAAAGCCAAAAAACTTTAAAGGGTTAATTGAAATCAACGTAATGACTATCAAAAGGCTTTTCCTACCTGAAGTATCGCCATCGTTCAGGTAAGAAAAAGGAAGTACAGGTTTGATATGGATGAAGGAATGTCTACTCTTGATGAGAGAGCATCTTCTTGGGATCCTAGATATTGCTCAACGCTAGGATAAATACGCAAAGCTAGGTGTCTTAAGTGAATCAAATAAAGTATTTCACGGGGAAAAGTTAGACAGCTATTATCAGCAAGATCTAGAACTCTTACTAGCTTGAATGGCAAGTACTCCCTCATGAAACATCGGAATCTACCAAATAAGATAACACAATGAGCCTCACTGTCAAGGCACATAACATACTCTTTCTTATTATGGATGCTGATTCGACTTCGACTCTTAGACAAACACTGCATAGATTTCACACATGGATTTTGATCATTCTTACTTCCGAGAACATTCACAAAATTCATGTTACGAGCTTCCATCATACAGAGTTCACGAGTCATATCATGAATTCCACAACACTTAATTTTTCCATCAAAAGTAGTACTTTCTATGGAAATTAAACTTCTATCAATAAGATCTTGTAGGTACTTTTCTGCCACTTCTTCTATGCTTTTCATCTCTTCTACCTTCAAAAATCCCTCTGTTTCCCACAATATCATAAGTTTATCGACAAAAATCAGTTTATCCTCTGGGAAGATTGCGAAATATAAAAAGCATGGTTTTAGGTGGTGAGGCAAGTAATGGTAACTCAATGCCAACACCTTCATGCATTGGACACCAACATCTGTGCTTACTGCTGAACTTACATTTTCAGCAACACTTTGCCACTCACTCAATGCTTTGTCAATTTTAGTGAGAAGTCCCGCGATCACAACAATTGCTAGAGGCAATACTCCGCATTTCAATGCAATTTGCTTTCCAAGTTGTTCATATTCAGGGGAGAAAGAGTCTTTCGTAAAGACTTTTTCATACAATAAACTCCAACTTTCGTCAAAATTCATGAGGCGCATGTGATAAGGAGGCTTACCTGAGCTAGCGTATTCAGCCACTTCCACATTCCGAGTAGTCAAGAGTATTCGGCTTCCATTATGTAAGTCTGGGAAACATATTTGTATATCATCCCAAGCTTTTGTAGTCCATATGTCATCAATGACTACCAAATATCTCTCACCTTTTAGAAGCTTTTGCAGTCGATCTGCTAGTTGTCCGTCATGTAGCTGATCATAAGGTTTATCACTTATACAAGAAAGAAGGTCTAGGAAAACATTTCTCACACAATACTCTTGTGAAACAGTAGCTTTAGCACGAATGTCAAAACAATACATCATGCATGGATCGTTGTAGAGTTTCGTAGCCAAAGTTGTCTTGCCAATGCCTCCCATACCTACAATTGATACAACTGCTAGTTCTCTTTCTCCTCTAGCAAGTTGATCCAGCATCATCTTGAATTCATTTTCATAGCCAACCATTATATCCTCGGACTGCTCAACAGCAAGTTCAGGTATCTTGGATAGACAAAAATTTTGTGCTTTGAAATCTTTAATGTTGTTGTACCAGTCCCATATTGCCAACCACTGCATCATGAAGGAATCAATGCATTCTACCTCTTGTTCCAAGGAACAACAGAGTTCCCAGAAAGCTTTGCTTCGTGTAATTACAGTTTCTGCGGAAGAAACTTTTCTTGATTTCGAATCAACCATGTCTTCTGCTTTGTATGCTACCTCCGCGATTTCAACTTCCAAGGTTGTTAACCCCTCATGATCTCCCGTTATATTGCAGGATTTCTCCAGAATAGCTCTCAAAGATTCAAGCTTTTCATAGAATGGTTGCAAATCACATCCAGTAAGTTCCATTGACTGGTGTATGGTTCTCATAAGGGAAGTAACAGCAGCATAAGCCATATATCCAAAAAATAGGAATCTCTCACACTCAGTATGAAAATGGACAAATTAATTGCCACAAGTTATGTAATCTTTCTTTTACTAACTATTTCCATCACATTTCTAGCTAGGTCCACTAACAGGTAAAGTAGAAAGATGTGAGGTCCCTAACCTTATCATCATGTAGACAAAAGAAGAGACCAAAGTTTTTAAAAAAAAGACAGGAAAAAGTAGAAAAATTTGTGATCATTCATTATTAGACCCTACACTAATCTCTTTAGAAAAATAAACTAAAATTTTAGTTTAAATAAAGGAGTTCAAGCTGTATATTGATAACGTCCAATTCAAATTCAAGTGTAGTACGGTCTAGCAATAATAAACTCAACAAATGTTGGGGTCGAGGAGTATGCTTGTGTCAAGGTGACAGAGAATGCGAATTTGCGAATTTCCTAAGCTTATCTACAAATAAAAGGTCTTTCTTTTAGCTAGGTCCATAATCCATGTAGTGCTCTCTACTCTCTAGTCTCTATCAACCAGCTCAAGTTTAAGGGTGTGTTTGGTATGGAGGAAACATTTTCTCTAGAATAGGGAGAGTTTTGTGCATAAACAAAGAAGAATCTCTCAGTATAACAGTGAATGTGTATTTTTTTTATGATTTGCTTCATTTGAGTATGACTTTTGTAAGAAAATTCTGGTAAAAGTTTAAAAAATGATCTTGTGGAATAAGCACAGTGAATTCCTTAATATTCGAGTAGAAAAAGCCAGGGAGGATAACATTGCTATTTGTACACTTATCGTGACACGAGTAGTCTCTTAAATATTACACCTTTCTACTGGTGTTGCTGGTGCCACTGAATTTAGCCTTCCGTCTTCCTTTGCGAGGTAGATTGAGGACTCCCAAGAAAGGAAACACAAGGTACTGGAGTCTGTTCTGGCCTCTACAGTATGTATGTACATAAAATTTGGAGTAACTAAAAAACCACTGACAAATGGCTATACGAAAGATCATATACAATTTAATTACAAGCCATTTGCAATCATCCTGCCCCTTTATGCAGAATCTTTTCAAAGAAAATGAAAACAAACACTCACACATTTGGCTTCTGATTGACATTTATTTCAGAGAACTGGCTAGTCCTCAGAACACCTTAACTACTCGCTGCAGAAAAAAAAAGACGCAAAAAATGGAAAATAATATGTTAGATGTACCATAATTAAGGAACAGGAGAACATTATAGCAAGAATGAGCATGCAGGTATAAGAACTTACACATTATTGCGGCAAGAAGCAACTTCTTTCTCAAAGTCAATATCATCATCTTCATCTATTGTTACACTACATCGAAAATGCTTGCTACAAAAGATGAAAAATGAAATGTTACACTTCCCAAAATCAAGAATGAGCATGCAAGTATAACAAGTTACACAATATTGGAAGGATTCGAATCAATCACAATGACAGCATCAAGAACTTTTGTTGAATTGGTGTAATTTGACTTACTAAAGCTATTATCCAGATTATTATCGAGTTTACTATAATGATGAGTTAAATATTGTTGTAAATCAAGGAAGAAGATGTCTTACTAAAGATTACGAGTATGGACCTCGATAGAGCTTCCATAGTTGTCTTGAATGTCCTGTTGAATTTTCTTGGCGGAATTCCCAACAGATTGTTGACAGTAACTTATATCAATAAGAGCTAGTGTGGTTATATCTGCAAAATCTCGAGGGATTGAATCCAAATAATAGCAACTTCTAAGAAAAAGTCGTTCAAGGTACGGAAAGTGATCACTACTAGCTCTCCAGTACCGAATGCATACTTCATGCAGAAACAAGAACTTCAAGTGAGGAAACCCTTCCTCAACTACTTCCCACTCCTCGCCTATGAAGGATTTCCATGATAGTTTAAGGACCTCGAGTTTGGGTAATTTACCAACAATGCTCAAATCCTTCCATGCCAAAAAGAATTCTCCGCTAAAAGTTAAACTCTTAAGGTTTTGTGGAAAAGCATCCGGAGGAGGTAAGCGTAAAGTTGAAACATCATGTGGAGGTGCAGTTGCCCTGAAAGGTAAGAGTAAACTTGTATAAAGTTGAACAACTAGCCACATGAGTCCTACATGACACAATACACATAAGACACCAACTATTTCCATCACATTTCCAGCTAGGTCCACTAACCTTATCATCATGTAGACAAAAGAAGAGACCAAAGTTATAAAAAAAAAAGACAGGAAAAAGTAGAAAAATTGTGATCATACATTATTAGACCCTACACTAATCTCTTTAGAAAAATAAGTTTCAATAAAGGAGTTCAAGCTGTATATTGATAACGTCCAATTCAAATTCAAGTGTAGTACGGTCTAGCAATAATAAACTCAACAAAAGTTGGGGTCGAGGAGTACACTTGTGTCAAGGTGACAGAGAGTGTTCTGGCCTATACAGTATGTGTGTATGTACATAAAATTTGGAGTATCTAAAGAACCACTGACAAATGGCTATACGAAAGATCATATACAATTAAATTACAAGCCATTTGCAATCATCCTGCCACCTTATGCAGAAAAAATGAAAATTCTGATTTGACATTTATTTCAGAGAACTGGCTAGTCCTCAGAACACCTTAACTACTCGCTGCAGAGAAAAAAAAAAGACGCAAAAAATGGAAAATAATATGTTAGATGTCCCATAATTAAGGAACAAGAGAACATTATAGCAAGAATGAGCATGCAGGTATAAGAACTTACACATTATTGCGGCAAGAAGCAACTTCTTTCTCAAAGTCATCTTCATCTGTTGTTATATCGAAAATGCTTTCTACAAAAGATGAAAAATGAAATGTTACACTTCCCAAAATCAAGAATGAACATGCAAGTATAACAAGTTACACAATATTGGAAGGATTCAAATCAAACACAATGACAGCATCAAGAACTTTTGTTGAATTGGTGCAATTGGACTTACTAAAGCTATTATCCAGATTATTATCGAGTTTACTATGATGATGAGTTAAATATTGTTGTAAATCAAGGAAGAAGATGTCTTACAAAAGATGACGAGTATGGACCTCGATAGAGCTTCCATAGTTGTCTTGAATGTCCTGTTGAATTTGCTTGGCGGATTTCCCAACAGATTGTCGACAGCTACTTATATCAATAAGAGCTAGTGTGGTTATATCTGCAAAATCTGGAGGGATTGAATCCAAATCATAGCAATTTCTAAGAAAAAGTCGTTCAAGGTACGGAAAGTGATCACTACTAGCTCTCCAGTACCGAATGTATATGTTATCCAGAAACAAGAACTTCAAGTGAGGAAACCCTTCCTCAACTACTTCCCACTCCTCGCCTATGACGGCATTGTCTGATAGTTTAAGGACCTCAAGTTCGGGTAATTTACCAACGATGCTCAAATCCTTCGATGCCAAAAAGAATTCTCCGCTAAAAGTTAAACTCTTAAGGTTTTGTGGAAAAGCATCCGGAGGAGGTAAGAGTAAAGTTGGAACATCAGCTGGAGGTGCAGCTTTCCCGAATTGTGTCTTTTTGTACAATAATTTCGTCTGAAACCTCAGAGGATCTTGCGGAGTAGAACCTGAAGGTGCAGTGCTTTCTAGAACGCAAGCAGCACCTGGATAATAAACACGAAATGCCAATTTCTCGAGCTGATATAAGTAGCGAAAATCATACAGGTCCTTGTGATTGCGAAAGTCCTCTTGGACGCCAAATACTTTCAACTTCTTTAAATTGGGAAATAGTCTAAAAAAAGACCCTGTACAATACCGAGGATTCAATTGATTGAGGCATTGCAAACTTTTCAAAACCAATCTGTTCTCTGTAGGCTCATGACTCCGCAAGTAATTCCAGCCCATACGCAGCTTCCTCAATTGTGGCATCGTCAAAATTTCCGATGGTAATATGAAAGGATAACTATCAGTAAATGGAAGGTAAAGTTTAAAAGTTTGCAGATAGCATAGGCGTGATATCGATAGAGGAATGTCTATTATTGATGAGGGAACAGCTTCTATCGATCCTCGATACTGCAATAAGCAAGGATTAAAACACAAAGATAGGTATCTCAAATGAATTAGAGAAAGTACTCCACTGGGAAAAATTGGGCATGGAGTCCAACCAAGATCTAGTACTCTTACTAGCTTGAAAGACAATTCCAGTGTGATGCAATTGAATCCACGTGACATGATAATAGAATGAGCCTCACTGTTACGACACCAAGCCAATTCTTCCTCCTTATAGATACTGATCCGACTTCGCTTCTTAAAGGAACACTGCATGGATTGTGCACATGAATTTTGATCACTCTTTCCTCTGATAACATTCCCAAAATTCATGTTTCGAGCTTCCCTCAAACAGAGTTCACGGGTCACATCATGCATTCCACAGCTCTGTATTTCCCCATCAAAACTCAATTTGTGGATAGAAATTAGACTTCTATCTACAAGTTCGTTTATACATGTTTCTGCCACCTCTTCTATGCTTTTTCCCTCTTCTTCATTCAAAAACCCCTCTACGGCCCATAACTCAACAAGTTTATTTACAAAAATCCGTTCATCCTCGGCGAAAATTGCAAAATACAGAAAACACGGTTTTAGGTGAGAAGGCAAGTGATGGTAACTCAAAGCCAACACTCTCATGCATTGTGCTTCAGGATCTGTGCTTACCACCGAACTTACATTCTCCGCAATTCTTTGCCACTCATCTAATCTTTGACCGATTTTGGAGAGAAGTCCAGCAGTCACAGTAATTGCTAGAGGTAATCCTCCACATTTTAATGCAATTTGTTTCCCAATATTTTCAAATTCAGGAGAATAAGAACCTTCTGTTTCAAAGTTCTTTTTGTGTAGTAAATTCCAACTTTCGTCAAAATTCATGAGGCGCATGTGATGAGGAGGCTTACCTGAACTAGCATATTCAGCCACTTCCACATTCCGAGTAGTCAGGAGTATTCTGCTTCCATTAATACAGTCTGGGAAACATAGTTTTATATCATCCCAAGCTTCTGTAGTCCATATGT